GGAGATGTTCTTTTACTCAGTCTCAAGTGAAGATCCAGATGTAGGATTAACTTAATATTATCAGAAATAAAGGTTTTTTTTACCTTGATGGGTATAATAGCATGATGTTCTCAAGATTGAGCCTGAGGCCAGTACTGTCTTCACTGGGGACTTGAGAATACCTTGTACTAAATTTCAGAATGATCTTTGAATAATAAGTAGAAGGTATTTTCTCTTTCAAGTTGTGAATTTAGAAAGTTTCAGATAAATCTTGTCTGAATTAACTCTTAGTCCTAAAATTTGAGTTATATCTGCTACCCTTCAACGATGGCTATGGGCAGAATATAAAAAGTGATATTTAAACTTAATCCTCTTCAAATAGTGGTAGATAAAAGATTAGATTGGACTATGGGACATAAATGGTGCTCGTGAAGAGTGTACTTCTTTAGCTCAAGTAGATACAAGAGACTAAACAGGCAGCTTCTGTCCAGAGGTGAGATGAGAAGGCAGAGAGGGTCAGGAGCTGGTTGAATGGACATAGGAAATCCAGGGAGGAAAGAAGGAGTGTGCTGTTACAGTACAGGGAGAGCAATTAGGGTCACATAACAATGTATGCATAAATTTTTGTATGAGAGACTAACTTGAATTATAAACGTTTACTTAAAGTACAACAATTAAGAAAAATACAAATAGTGGTAGATAGAAAACATCAGAATAATGAGAGTAAAGAAATTTAGACGCTAGTTCCAGTCTTCCACCCCCTTGCTTTGTGCCCTCTGGCAGTCTGACTGTACAGTGGACACATGGGTGTATATTGTGTGCGGATGCATGCTACTCTGGAGATTTGCTTCACATCTACCCTTCTTCTACAGATAGGGTGGAGCCAAAGGGATTTGGGTTTCCTAGTAAATGAAAAGGCTGTTATGAGTAATAATGATATTTGAATTTAAAAATGGTAAAAGTTCATCCTGGATGCCTTTTAAGACTGTAAGTTTATTTTTTTAATTAATGATTTTAGTTTATTTTTATTCCCTAGAATGCAAACAGTAAACTAGAGCTATAGATGGGTTTAAAAATTGTTGGAAAAAATTTTTACAGAAGGAAATGGATCATAGCAAGAATCCATGCCATCCTTTCTTAAAAAAACTTTTTTTGTTCAGAATATACACAGCAAAACCTACACCAATTCAGCTGTTTCTACATACGCAGTTCAGTGACATTGATTACGTTCTTTGAGTTGTGCATCCATTCTCACCCTCGTTTTCTGAGTTGTTCCTCCCCCATTAACATAAACTCACTGCCCCCTAAGGTTCCTGTCAAATCTTTCCAGTTGCTGTTTTCACTTTGATTCCATATTGATAATTCTTAAAAGAGCATGATGCTCAAAGCAGACCTTTTTTGCTAGTTAAGCTAGACTATTGTTTGGTTTTAAGAAGACTTCAAGGCATATTTTTGGTTTAAGATTTAAAGGTTATCTCAGGGCAGTAGTTTCAAGGGTTCATCCAGCCTCTATGGCTCTAGAAAGTCTGGAGTCCATGAGAATTTGAAATTCTGATCTGCATTTTCCCCCTATTGATCAAGATTCTTCTATGGAATCTTTGATCATACTGTTCAGTAATGGTAGCTGGGCACCATCCAGTTCTTCTGGTCTCATGCCATGCCATCCTTTTTTAATTCCACCAGTTTGCTTTTGTTTTATCTAATGACTCTGTACAGCTTTCTCACGTAAAAAGTTGTCTCAGATTTTGAATTAGTTTGTATTTTCAATTTTAACTTAAGGTTGTTTCATTTTGTTTTAATTCACTTTTATTCCAATAGTTGGCCAGGAGAGGGTGCATGGGAATGTCTGATTTAATACACTTTTGAATTAAGTATCCCATTTGCAATAATATTTTAAATTAATTTGATTGCAGTTATTTCGTATTTTCTTGCTAATTCATTTTATGAACCGTTTGAGCCCTGAACATGTTATAGGTATTCAGAAAGCTTTGTCATTATTAATTCTTAATGTGTTTAATTTTTTCAGCATCATATTCAATTCACTGAATATGTACTGAGGATTTAAGGAAGACAGGGCACTGTGCTAGGTGTGGGGGATGCAGAACCCTCAAGAAATCTTTCAGATTGGTTAATGCAGTAGGGATTTATTTGAAGTAGGATGGAAATGGAAGCCAAGGGGTTTAGTTTTCTGTAATCATGCTGTCAATGATGAGATTAGGCATAGAATTAAAGATAGGAGAGACCCTAGAGATGAACTAGTCTAGCTCCTTTTTTCACAGATAAAGAGACTGAGGCCCAGAGAGGTGACCGCTAATTACAACTATGTAGAAACGTAAATGTTCTTGATTATAAACATGAGAAAAATTTGAAATTGTGTAATATAAGGCTTACAGTTCACAGAATTTATTTTTTGGGGAGAGCCCTTTAACCTGTCTAGTTAAGAATGTTACTTGCAGTATCTCATTTAAGCTTCATAAGAAGCCTATGAGGTAGTTATTATTATTACTCCATTTAGTGATAACTGAAATCTAGAAAGGTTATGTCACTCACTGTCTTAGTCATCTAGTCCTGCTATAACAGAAATACCACAAGTGGATGGCTTTAGTGAACAGAAATTTATTTTCTTACAATTTAGGAGGCTGGAAGTTTGAATTCAGGGCCCCGGATCTAGGGGAAGGCTTTCTTTCTCTGTCGGCTCTGGGGGGAAGGTCATTGTCTCTTTTCAGCTTCTGTTTCTTAGTGGCTGGGCGATCTTCATTTGGTTTGACATCTGCCGGTAACTTTCTCCATCTGTGCTTGCTCGCTTCTGTGCCTCAGTGGCTCCATTTATATCTCAAAAGTGATTGGTTTAAGACACACCCCACATTGGTAATCTCATTAACATATCAAAGAGAACCTATTCCTAGGTAGGATTATATCCACATGTATAAACCCAAACCCGTCATTGGGTCGATTCTGACTCAGAATGACCCTATCGGACAGAGTAGAACTGCCCCATACAGACTGCACATCTTTCTCCTGTGGAGCTGCTGGTGGGCTTGAGCCACTTACCTTGCAGTTACCAGACAAGCCCTTAACCAATGCTCCACCAAGGGTCCTTATCCACATGTATGTTGTTGTTTGGTGTTTTCGAGTCAATTCTGACTCATAACGACCCCATGTAGAACAGAATGAAACACTGCCTGGTCCTGTGCCATCCTCACAATTGTTGTGTTTGAACCCATTGTTGCGCCACTGTATCAATCTGTCTCATCGAGGGTCTTCCTCTTTTTCACTGACCCTCTACTTTACCAGGTATGATGTCCTTTTCCAGGGACTGGTTCCTCCTGATAAACATGTCCAAAGTACATGAGACCCAAGTTTTGCCATCCTCACTTCCAAGGAGCACTCTGGCTGTACTTCTTCCAAGACAGACTTGTTTGTTCTTCTGGCAGTCGGTGGTATATTCAGTATTCTTTGCCAACACCGTAGTTCAAAGGCATCAATTCTTTAGTCTTCCTTACTCACTGCCGCATGCATATTAGGTAATTGAAAATATCATGGCTTGGGTCAGGCACACTTCAGTCCTCAAAGTGCCGTCTTTGCTTTTCAACACTTTAAAGAGGACTTTTGCAGCAGATTTGCCTAATGCAATATGTTGTTTGATTTCTTGACTGTTGCTTCCATGGGTGTTGATTGTGGATCCAAGTAAAATGAAATTTTTGACAGCTTCAGTTTTTTTTCTGTTTATCATGATGTTGCTTGTTGATCCAGTTATATTTGTGTTTTCTTTATGTTGAGGCGTAATCCATACTGAAGGCTTTTGTCTTTGATCTTCATCAGTAAGTGCTTCAAGTCCTCTTTACTTTCAGGAAGCAAGGGTGTGTCATCTGCATAATGCAAGTTGTTAATGAGTCTTCCTCCAATCCTGATGCCCCGTTGATTTTCATATAGTCCAGCTTCTGGGATTATTTTCTCAGCATACAGAGTGAATAAGTATGGTGAAAGGATACAACCCTGACACACACCTTTCCTGACTTTAAACCATGCAGCATCCCCTTGTTCTGTTCGAGTGACTGCCTCTTGATCTATGTACGGGTTCCTCATGAGCACAATTAAGTGTTCTGGAATTCCCATTCTTCGAAATGTTATCCATAATTTGTTATGATCCACACAGTCGAATGCCTTTGCATAGTCAGTAAAACACAGGTAAACATGTTTCTGGTATTCTCTGCTTTCAGCTAGGATCCATCTGACATCAGCAATGATATCCCTGGTTCCATATCCTCTTCTGAATCCACCTTGAATTTCTGGCTGTTCCTGTCGATGTACTGCTGCAACTGCTTTTGAATGATCAGCAAAATTTTACTTTCGTGTGATATTAACGATTCTGTTTGATAATTTCCACATTTGGTTGGGTCACTTTTGTTTGGAATAGGCAGAAATATGGATCTCTTCCAGTTGGTTGGCCAAATAGCTGTCTTCCAGATTTCTTGGCATAGATGAGTGAGTACTTCCAGCACTGCATCCGTTTGTGGAAACATCTCAGTTGGTATTCCATCACTTCCTGGAGCCTTGTTTTTCACCAATGCCATCAGTGCAGCTTGGACCTGTTCTTTTTATATCACCCTTGAATTGTTTTGTGTCTTTGTCTTGCTTACTCATCAAGATTGTGGGATTCCATATGAGTCGGAATCAAGTCAACAATAATGGAGTTTTTGGGTCAGGGATCCATCATGTCTTTAAATTGTTTTTGGACTGGATTGACTTATAATAGTGATTCAGTATTTGTTAGCCACTCAAAGCAATTGATCTTGGGTTAATGTCTGTTTATTATTTGGCTCATATGAGTTATAAACTTTTCACTCTTCTTAACCTCCAATAAACTAGCTTTTTGTGGTGTTTAATGTAAAAGCAGTCTCTATTAAATGAATACTGCTAGGTTGGTTCTGTTTATGGTTCTTAAATTGTTTCTATTAAGATGGAACGGTTATAGAAAGATAAGTTCTGCATAAAGATTCTAAATGGCTATTGTTTTACAGGCTTCTTTCACCTCATAATGTTTTGCTCCAATCACATATTCACACAAGTGCTTCTCTTGACATCTCTCGAAAGTGGGAGAAGAAGAATAAAATCATTTATCCCCCACAACTGCCTGGAGAACCTCGGAGACCAGCAGTAAGTTTGTGGGTAGAACTAATCTCTTAATTTTGATAAAGTGTACCTACTCTGAAGTGGCTAGCAATGATTTATTATTCCATGGTAAAAAATACTGCAATTTACACGATCCTTTAATTGACATATAAGATTTATTAAATTTATCTCTTTGGCAGTTTAGAAAAGATCATCATTGCTTTACTTATTTCTTTGCCTTTATCTCCAGATAGGGGGCTTAACTCTAAAACTAAGCTAATAGCTTCAGACATACCGAATTTTGACTCTAAGAGGCTTGCGAATGAATTCTTGATTAGGGAGGGTAAGGAGTTGGCATGAATGACTTAAACCATTGGCCAATGTTTAAATCATGTATTTGGTTTTTCATTTGAATGTAGATATACTTTTTTTTTTTTCTCGTTTATACACCTTCGAACCTAAGGTTTGAATTTAAATATTGGATTCCTACCAGAGATACTGAGAATTTATCTTATCTTTAGCTGCTCAGAATTCTCTTATTATCTTCAAAGTGTGCTAGAGATTGCTCTATTCTGAGAAATACGACTAACTTCCAACTTAATGTGAGTTTCCTATGGAATCATGCACATCTGTTAAAAAGTTTAAGGAGATAGTAATATGAACAAGGTAGGAATGTTTTAGTCTAAGAAAATAAGCTGGTAAGTACTTTAGAAATAAACTGATAAGTACTTTAGCGTGCTCGGCTGCTAACGGAAAGATTGGTTTTTCTAACCTACCTGTTGCTCCACAGGACAAAAATGTGGCAGTCTGCTTCTGTAAAGATTTACAGACTTGGAAACCCTATGGGGCAGGTCTGCTCTGTCCTACAGGGTTGCTATGAGTAGGAATCAACTTGACAGCAGTGTGTTTTTTGGTTTACTTTAGAAATAGAATTACTGTGTTAATTATAGATCATTTGGTTCATCACACATCTTTTAAAGGCCTTTGAGATTCATGGTTACTGGATGATCAGTCTCATCTAAGTAATAGTAAATACCATGTCATTTACTTAATTTTTATGTGAACTTGAAAGCATGCATTTTGTTATAAAAAGATTCCATTGTCTAAGTATTGGTCTGAGTTAGTACAGCGCATATTTTCTTTTTTGTCTGATTTAGGAGAGTTAATTTCTTTCTTTAAAGGGCTCTCATCTGATTGGGAAACGAGAGGAAAAAGAGATGCTAAGCTTTACAGCCTTGGAAACCCTACAGGGCAGTTCTACTCTGTCCTGAATCAGAATCGACACAATGGTAACGGGTGTTAAATAAATGAACTAAGAAAAATACTCTAATGTAGTAAATGTAGTAGGAAAAACACTAGGAATAGCATCAAGAGAAACTAAAGCAACTTTTTAATGTTCATATTTTACCATTCTATTGGAATTTGAAAGTTAGATTTGTCAGAGAATCTGTGCTATGAAGTGTTGACTCCCTTTTCTTATTGACCAAAACATTACAATAGTTACACATTTGCACAAATATCATAAATAGAAAATTATTTCCTATAAATTAATGAGCTTTATTTCTTACCTGAGCTCTTTGAACTTAGATATTAATTGGAAATAAAGAAATTTTAACAGTATTTGTCAGGTCCAGAATCTAAGAGCAAAGTTATATATTTTGTAGTGCCAATCTCTTGGATATTAAAAAAAAAAAAGTACTTCAGGGTGCATTCCAAATTTCAAAATTCAGGTAGTTAACAGTAGATCATCATTTAACTCTTGCAGATGAAGTCAATTTAGTAATTTATTATGTGTTGTATTTACCGAAACTATTTTGATTAACTTTTTTGCATGACATACACTCCTTACACAGTGCCTGTGTGAGGACTTTTGTTTTATGTAGGCACTTTTGAGCAACCTAATTTAATTCTCTAGTTTGCACAGATTTTGCTTGAGTGAGTAATCCTTTAGGGGACAAGTTATGGTTTTTGGAAAATAATGTTTTCTGACTTTAAATAGTTATTAGTAAATTAACATTAATGGCATCAGTTTTACCTATTATGAATGGAAATATTAATACCTTTCATAAATACCTGCCTTATTTACAGGGAATAATTTACTCACCCAGCCATGTAGATCTTAACACAGTTCCACTATGTTGCTTTGAAAGTCCCTCGGACTTGCCAATCTGCTAGCTTCAGCATTGGAATATATATTTTATAAACAAATAATAGTGGCTAGGGATAGTGAGTAAACCCTATGGCAGTAAATTAAAATGAGTGCCAGCAATTTAGATGTTTTAGGCCATTCATAATATTTTTAAGACTATTGTTAGGTGCCATCGAGTCAGTTCCAACTCATAGTGACTCTGTGTACAACAGAAGGAAGCACTGCCCGGTCCTGTGCCATCCTCGCAGTCGTTGCTGTTTGACCCCATTGTTGCAGCCACTGTGTCAGTCCATCCATCTTGTTGAGGATCTTCCACTTTTTCACTGTCCCTCTACTTTACCCAGAATGATGTCCATCTCCAGGGACTGGTCCCTCCTGATAACATGTCCAAAATACGTGAGACGAAGAAGTTTCACCATCCTCACTTATAAGAAGCATTCTGGCTGTACCTTTTACAAGACTACCTTCCTACTTTAGCTAACACCAATTTACAAACAATATAAATTCCTATGTAGACTTTATCTTTTTTTTTTTTTTTAATATTTTATTGTACTTCAGGTGAAGGCTTACAGAACAGATAGTTTCTCATGTAACAGTAACACACATGCTGTTTTATGACATTGGTTAACAACCCCACAACATTTTAACCCTCTAAATACTCAACTTTTTTTTTTTTTTGGTGAAAATACACATAGCCAAAGATACGCCATTTCAAAAATTTTTTTTACATACACATTTAAGTGACATTGACGACGCTCTTCTAATTATGCTGTTATTCTCACTTAAGATGAAGGCTTACAGGACAAAATAGTCTCCCATTTGACAGTTACTACAAATGTTGCCCTATGACAATGGTTAACAATCTCACAACACATCAACAATATCCTTACTCTATTTTGTGTTCCCTATCATCAGCTTCCTACTCCCCTTCTGCCTTCTGGGCCTTGTCACTGGACTCCTGTACCTCGTTACTCTCATGGTTTTACTGGGCTGTCCACTCGCAGGCTGAACAGTGAACCTCGAAGGTAACTTTACCACTGAGCTAAAAGGGTGTCTGGGGGCCATACTCTCGGGGTTTCTCCAGTCTCCTTTAGGCCAGTAAATCTGGTCTTTTTTTTTTTTTTTTTTGTGAGTTAGAATTATGCTCTACATCCTTCTCCAGCTCTGTCCAGAACCCTCTGTTGTGATCCTGGTCAGAGCATGTAGACTTTTATCTTATATGTGGCTTCATCATGGTTAAGAAAATAAGGTGGAAAGAAAGTTTTTGTTTTCCATGATAGTCACACTTTATTAATTTGGGCTTGAGTTTCCTTTTGCAATGTCTTCAAAGAAAGCTATGTTAAATAAATTAAAAGTAGTGAAATTCATTGCCATTGAGTCATGTCCAACTCATAGTGACCCTACAGGACAAAATAGAACTGCCCCATAGGGTTTCCAAGGCTGTAATCTTTTTTTTTTTTTTTTTCCCCAAGGCTTTAATCTTTATGGGAGCAGACTGCCACATCTTTCTTCCATGGAGTGGCTGATGGGTTTGAACTTCGGACCTTTCAATTAGTAGCTGACTGCTTAACTACTGCGCCAGCAGGACTCCTAAAAGTAGTGAGACTGTAGCAAAACTGAACAACCATTTCTGTAAAAGGCATATTTTTAATGTATGGATTAACTGACATACTGATAATGATAATAAGTCATGCTTGTAAGTCATTAATGTGGATACCATAAGGCTCCAGTAAGGACTTTTATTAGATGACACTTTATCCTCATTCGCGTTAAGTGCATTTAAAAATAAATTGATTTCTTTAAAAGTTGTTTGTTTAGGCATTTTATAATTTAAACTTATTTTTATTTCATTTGAATAACTATTTTACACATTATATTCTAACTTAACTTTACCCAGTTTACCATATTGGTTAGTAAATAGCAGTGATATCTAACCACGCTTTCTGATTTCTAACTTCGCAACTTTATTTACTGCAACTTTGTCTGGTGTGTGTTTAAAAAGTACTCTTAGACGTTTCACCTGCTTAAAGTCAACTAAAACTAAAGTAAAATTAAAGAGCTTTTTAGTTTTAGAAGATGATGATTGAGTCCCTTTCCTCTTTCTTGTAAACACTTGATCCCTTTTTACCCCATGCTCTTGCCAATATTACAATTTTTTTTTTTTTTACAAAATTTGAAGATAATCATATACAATTCAGGTTTAAAGATAGCTCAAGAAGGGAAACCAAGAATTGAAAGGTTTCTATATAAAAGATTTCATTGATTGGATTAATTTTTGCAGATTAATATTATCAGGCGTGACAGTTCTTCTTTCCTGTCCCTTGCTCCGCAGGGTACTTTATTGCTGAAAATGTAATTAGGCTATTGTTACAGTTTTCAGCCTGTCAGCTGCCGTTGTAACTGAAATGAAATCTGCTGCATGTTAAAAGATGGCCACATGAGAAAACTCTCTGTTTCTAATGCATTTGAAAATTTCCACCAGAAGTCAGACTAGAAATTTCTGAGGTCTCCTGCAATTGTTTACTTTGACAAATGTTTTCTGATTTTTTAAGTGAAGTAATCAACGGTATGGTATAGGGTTGCTGTGAGTCAGAATCGACTTGATGGCAATGGGTTTGATTTTTTTTTTTTTTTGGTTTATGGTATACTAGTGGAAAGAATGTGAGCTTTAGAGTAAGAAGGGGAACTTTTAGTGGCACACCTGCCAGACAGTGTAGTAGGCATTTCACATACTTCCCTGTTCTTTGACTTCCAGCTTTGCCTCATCCAGCTTTGCCTCACACAGGTTTTGTGGTTTTGGGCAAGTTATTTGATCTCTCTGATTTCTAGTTTGTAAAAAGATTATAAAATGTTTCCTCTCTCAATTCATAGAGTTAGACCAAATAAAGTAATGGACCTGTAAAGTGCTTTGTAAACTATAAATTCTTTAATAGATGATTCCTTTTTTAAAAAATGAAATAAGGTATACCTACCACTTTAAATAGGTGATGGAGCCCTGGTGGTGCAGTGGTTAAGAGATCAGCTGCTAACCAAAAGGTCAGCAGTTTGAATCTACCAGCCACTCCTTGGAAACTCTATGGGGGCAGTTCTACTGTGTCCTACAGGGTTGCTATGGATCAGAATTGACTCGATGGCAACGGGTTTGGTTTTTTTAAATAGGTGATAATAAAAACTAGCATTTACAGAGAACTTACCATGTGCCAGGCACTATGAAGTGCTTACATAGGTTATTTTATTGAATTCTTATAATTGTTTTATGAGGTAGGTGTTATTACATTCATTTTAAAGAAGAAACTTAGAACAGAGAGGTTAAGTAGCTTGCCTGAAGATATCTAGTTAGTAAGTGGCAGAGCTGGGATTTAAACCCAGGCAGTCTGATTCTAGAACTTATGCTCTTGACCAAACATTCTTTTCTTCTTCTTGTACCTTTTCCTTTTTTCTTTTAACCAGATAGATGTTTTCAAAGACTTTCATTTAAATCTTTTGTCATTCCTCTGGATAGAAACATTGCAAATATTGGCACAAACTGGCCATTTTATAGTTTCTTTGTCTCCTTTACTAATATTTTAACAGTGAGACTTTGGAAAAATACAACTTTGTGTAGGGAAAAAGAATCTTCAAATTCTTGATAATGTTTTATTTCTTGTGGCAGTGTCTTCATTAAGCATGGAAAGTAAAAACTTTAGTAACAGTATGTGTAACTGTCATTTTGATAAACCTGCTAAAGGTTGTTTTTTTCTTCCCCTCTATTTGTAAGGAAATCTACCACTGTCGAAGACAAATAAAATACAGCAAAGACAAGATGTGGTATTTGGCAAAATTGGTAAGCTAAAATGACTATTACTGTGTAATGCTTTGGAAAAGAAGCTATGAATTTCCCACCAGGGATTGAAAAATCAAAAAATTTTGCCTTGATTTCTTTAAACAATGAGGAATATACCCCCACCAGACTGAGTCCAGTACAGCTAGATGGTGCCCGGCTACCACCACTGAGTGCTCTGACTGGGATCACAACAGAGGGTTCTGGACAGAGCTGGAGAAGGGTGTAGAACAAAATTCTAACACGCACAAAAAAGACCAGATTTACTGGCCTGAAAGAGACTGGAGAAACCCCGAGAGTATGGCTCCCAGACACCCTTTTAGCTCAGTGGTGAAGTCACTTCCAAGGTTCACCATTCAGCTGGGGATTGGACAGCCCCATAAAACCAAATGGGACTAATGAGGCACAGCAGTCCAGGGAGAAGGACTAGAAGGCAGAAGGGGACAGGAGTGCTGGTGATACGGAACCCAAGGTTGAGAAAGGACAGTGTTGACATGTAGTGGGGTTGTTAACCATTGTCATAGGGCAACATGTGTAGTAACTGTTTAATGAGAAACTATTTTGTTCTGTAAACCTTCATCTAAAGTGAGAATAACAGCACAACGGGAAGGACGTAATCGATGTCACTGAACTGTGCATGTTGAAATTTTTGAAATGGTGTATCTTTGGCTACGTATATTTTCACCAAAAAAAAAGGTCAAGAAAGGACAGAGTTGACATGTCATGGGGTTGTTAACCAATGTCATGAAACAATATGTGTACTGACTGTTTAATGAGAAACTATTTGTTGTGTAAAACTTCACCTAAAGTACAATAAAAAAAAAAAATGAGGAATATAGTTACATATTCAGACAATTGGTAGGTAATCAAATGAATGATGGTCAGAGATTAATGATTTTGCTTAGTTTTACCTTTATTTTGAGAAACTAAATCACATTGGGTAGATAGATATTTAAAACAAAAACATCAACTTTAAAAGTATTTGAGGAATTCTGGCTATGAGCAAAGAATTCAGAAAGCTTCTTTTCTGTAAAGCTTGATTCAGCCTGCTTCAGAATGGTTGCTTTCTGTTTTCTCTTGGGAAAATGAAATTTATATGTGAAGGGAGACAAGAGCTGTAAATAAACATGTAATTTATCCTGTAGGAGGAGCTGCCTTTAATGTCTGCTGTGGTCCTTGCCAACCTGAGATCTCTGTCTGTAATACCTGCTTTTCATATTCTGAAACTATTACAATCTGGGTTTTATGGTTAAAATGTTTAAGTTTGATTTTGATTAAAGAGGATGACATCCCTTCTGAAACTTGTTCTCTTTTGCATAGATTTAGTTCAGTGTTTCTAGAAGTTATTTGGATTACATAAGACATTTACTTTTTATTGAAAAGAAAATATCGACTTTGTAAACAAATTTGTTTATCCTCTCTTGTTTGTCATTCTTAATTCTAGATACGAGGAATGTCTATTGACCAGGCTTTGGCTCAACTGGAATTCAGTGACAAAAAAGGGGCCCAAATAATTAAAGAGGTAAATTTGCGAGAGTTTTTAGGGGCTGGGGGTTTATGCACAGTTGTCTTGTAGGTGTTGGTATGCTTAGCGTGAATCCTGAATTCCCTGAATTTTCTGGCTGTGAATGCATACTTCATTTGATTTAGGGCACTCATCCTTATTAATGTCCTTATACTTTAGGAATGTTGTATGCTTTAAGTGTTTTTTTTCCTGAGATACTTTTACTTGCACCAGACATTTATTTACTGGTTTTGTACTGTCTGTGAAATGCAATATCTTATTTTTAATGTTTTGGGGCTTGGTATAGTTTTTAGAAGTTTTTTTTTCTTTTTTTTTTTAAATCAGTTCCACAAATGAGAGTTTATGATTTTATAACTAGTTAAGTGGAAAGAACACTGGGCTGAGATGCAGGAGAGTTGGAGTCTAGTTTTTTCTCTGATATTCCTGTTGTGACCATGGACAAGACACTTACCTGTCTGGTTCCACTTTTCTCATCTGTAAACTAGGTGGTATTGGATTAAACTAAAAAACCAAAGCCATTACCAGGTATTTGGATTATGATCTGTAAAGACCCTCCCAGCTCTAAATGTAGCTAATTCACTAGATAGATATGTGCCAAGGTAAGTGCCTGATCATTCTGGGCACACAAGTGTTCTTGTTTCAAAAAGCTATGTTGACTATTGCCCCTTACCATCTGGGAGATCAGCATTATTTTCTGTATCTTCAGTTAATTCTCCCTAAAGTCAGTTCTTAATTTTCCATTTATTATTCGAATAGTTGAGATTGATGGCATTCTTATGCCTTACTTTTACTGTATTCAATTAGATTCAGAAGGCATTTACTAAGTATGTATTGTGAATCTAGTCTTGTACTTTAAAGATAAAACGTTTTTTATCTTTGAAGAGTGAAAGACCTTCTGTTATGACAACAGTTGTCCTACTTTAATAAGTGTTCTGGGAGAAGTAAACTTAATTCAAAACATCTGTAGAGTTAAAATTGAGTAATTAACTTCTTAGAAGAAATTCTCAAGTGTGATTTTCTCTACTTGTCTGTTGCTCTAATGGTTACTTTGGATACAAAGTTTAAGAATTTTCAACCACGATTTAGCCCTTGAGCTCCTTGAACTTTTTAACAAGTCTCTAACTCAAAGATATAATGTTAGTTACCAAGGATACTGTTTACAGTTGCTTCTATCTCCTTTACAGGTTACATATTCCATTTAAAGTTTAAGTGGAATGGATGATGTTCCCTGCACTTGTAACTCTTGTCTGAGGAAGGCAAGCTCACAGTATCCCTTCTCCTTAGTACTATTATCACTTAGTATTTTCTTTTTAAAATTCACTAAAATGGAAGCATGTGATTAGTAGTCATATTACAGAGATAAGAACAAGAAATGAGAAATTTAATTCTGTTTTAGTTCAAGGTCAGCCATATGAACACCTTTCTTTTCCTTGTTTAAGGTTCTCTTAGAAGCACAAGACATGGCGGTGAGAGACCATAATGTGGAATTCAGATCCAATTTATATATAGGTAAGATTTTTAATACATTTAGCATTGGAAAATGTCTTTCATTAATGATGCCAAGTTCTTTATCTAACAATAGTCTCTAATATTTCACTACTTAGGACTGGGTTTGCCAGTGAAAATTGCTGGTAATGGCTTACTCTTCAGCCTTCAGCATCTGTTATAAGTGGTAATAACCATATTGCTTTATTCTTACCTGTTCTGTCATGGAACTGAGATCATGAAACCTATTGCCAATAATTATTAAATAATGGCTAGCAAGACTGGTACGTAGAGTGGTCCTTCTTTTAATCATAATAAAACTAAGAAAGAGCATAACTGTCTTAACTGATTTTGCTTAATGAATTTTTTTTTGTCCACTGGAAGGAGGTAAATAAAGGGTCAGAGATGGGCTTAAAAGAATATTTTATAATGTGCCAAGCCAGGTGCCTAATCCGTAAGGTGTGCTATAATTTAATCTTCCAATTATCTGAATGGAAAATCTGTTGACTTGTAAAAGCCAAGGGGCCTTGGAAGGCTCAGATGACCCAGATGTGTTTGTTCCCCTTTGTTATTAAATCCTGAAGCATTATCTCTGGTTTTATATGCTTGTTCCACAGCAGATTAAATTAATGTAAGTGAAAATGCTTTTGGAAGCATGATGCGTTATACAAATGTAAGGGTTTCTTTTGCAGCATACCTTCACATAGCTCTTTTCCTAGAAGCAGTTCAGCATTTATTACAAAGCTCTTTATCCCCTCCCAACACTACAGGATAGTGGAGCAGTGGCTGGAGTTACAGTTTTCTTCTCACTTCAGCAGCAATTACTCCTAACCTCAGCAGTTTTGTAATCAAACAAAGACGTTGATGTCGAAGCAAAATTTTCTCAATCTGCCAAACCCATGTATAAGAAAGACTATTTTATGTAAAAACATTTAAGTTCAAGAGAGGGGAAATTGCTATTTGCCAAATGCGGGGAAGGGACTGAATCATAGAGGAAATTTGTTGTGTTTCATAATTTTTCAAAAGAGTTAAAAAAAAGAATCATCTAAATTCCACTTCATCACATAACCTCTGCCCTAATGGAGATATTTTTTTCTGGTTAAGTTAAAATCTTACCTCACGTCTGGGGTCTTAAAAGCTAGCAAGTGGCCATCTGAGATGCATCAACTGGTCCCAACCATCTAGAGTAAAGGAGAATGAAGAACACCAAAAACACAGGGAAAGCCTTGGCCCAAGAGAGAGAGGCGGCCACATAGACCAGAGACTTCATCAGCCTGAGATCAGAGGAACTAGGTGGTGCCCTGCTACCACCAATGACCACCCTGACAGGGAACACAACAGAGAGTCCCTGATGGAGCAGGAGAAAGGTGGGGTGCAGAACTCAAATTCTAGTAAAAAGGCTGGACTTAATGGTCTGACTGAGACTGGAGGAGCCCCAGAAAGCATGGTACCTGGACTCTCTGTCAACCCAGAACTAAAACAATTTCCAAGGCCAACTCTTCAGACAAAGATTGGACTGGACTGTGGCACATAAAATGATACTCGTGAAGAGTGTGCTTCTTAGCTAGCTCCATGAGACTAAATGGGCAGCTTCTGTCCAGTGGTGAGATGAGAAGGTAGAGAGGGTTAGGAGCTGGTTGAATGGACATGGGAAATCAGGAGTGGAAAGGAGAAGTGTGCTATCACAGTACAGGGAGAGCAATTAGGGTCACATAACAATGTATGTATAAATTTTTGTATGAGAGACTAACTTGAAATGTAAACTTCCACTTAAACTACAACAATAAACAAAAATTAAAAATAAAGACCTACAACGTAAAAGATCATGACAGAGCTTAGCTCGCCTGGAATTGATGTTGGCAACCACACCTACTTCTAAGATTCAAATTGGTTATGATTTTCAGTTGAAATATTTTAAAGCTAAATCATGTATAACTAATTATATTCTGACACATGCATAGATGCAGAAGGAAATAAAAATGGCAACTTGAAAGATGTAGGACCACAGTAGTTAATCATCAGCATTTTCTTCTGGGAGCAGCATGAATAAATAATGCTGAGGACAGCCCAGAATCATCGGAAGAGATGACATGGATGAGCAGTGAGACCATTTGCTTAAAACCTCTTGGTGACCTTTCTTGCTGTATGACACTGAATCCAAATCAAATTTAATTTTATTCAGTTGCATAGGAACATGGGCTTCTTAGCTGATAGACACCACTTTATAATGGAATTCAGATTGAAACAGGGTTTGTCTTTAAATCTTTTTCAGTAACTGTCTTTAAATCCTTTTTAACTGTAGTAGAGAAAGATACTTCTGGCTTAATCCTGTCTTTCAAATGAAGGAACAAAGTCCAGTGTTGCCATTAAGCAAAAATATACCTAACCAGTCCTTCATGGATGAGCCTTGAATCCAGAGTTCTCCTTATGCACATTGCTGCCAAGGTGTCTCTGCTCCACCTGCATTTCCTTTTCGTCTAATCCTGTGTAAAGATTACATTTCTAAAGTAGGGCTGATAAGTTTGGATTTGGCTTATGATTTTTAAAAAACTTCTCATTCTTTAAGTATTTTGCTGCTTAATTCCACATGGGGTCACCATGAGTTGGAATTGACTACATGGCAACTAACAACAACAACAATTCCATAATGAAGGGAAAAGAGACAAGTACCCTGAGGAAGATGAAATATCTTACCATGTCGTGTAGCATATTTTATCTGTGTATTTGCCCAACTTCCCTAGTAAGAATCATCTGAGGTACTTATTAAAAATACGGATTGCCAGGCCCACCACTGTCGTACTGGATCTGAAACCCCAGGGGAGAAATCTGGGAAGCTATTTGTTTTAATAGGTACCCTAATGATTCTTACCCAGGAAATGTAGAAACTGGTTTATCTCATTGTTTTTTTTTTGAGAAGGCCTAGACACTTCATTCCGTAGACTTCTATTAGAGTTTTGAAAGAGCGTTGACTCATATTTCCATTCAGCAATGGCTCTTTCAGTCCACCGCAGTAAGTAAGTGAAGGCATATTAAGGGAAGTGCTTTTTGGTAGCGTATGTTCTCATTATATGGTAATTCCTTCAAATGCCTGTCGTAAGTCTAAAGCTAATACCTGGTGTTGCATGACCACAGATTTGGAAAGTTCATTTCCTTTTCAGACTTATCATGATGACTAATGACACTGTGAATAGGCTTTAATAAGTAGACAAGGACTAATAAAATGTCACCGCTTAGTGATTTATGACATCTAAAGCGATTCAGTTTAGGGAAAGTGATCGACTGACTTTGTAAATCAGTCTTCTGGGCTAAGAGTGATGAAGGTGGGGTGGTTTCTAATGTTAAAATTCCAAGATTAGCATGTATCTAAGTACCAGTAAGAAGAAATATTGATATTTTTGAAGACATGGTACCTATTGGGTATAATCTTTAGAAGAGCATCAGGTGGTTCACAATTTTGAGATGTCTTAATATTTTCTTTCTTTCATCCACTAAGTATCTGAGTACCTATAGTGATCATACTGCCCACACGCAATTAGGTGATGATATATCTTCTATGGAGCCCTAGTGGTGAAGTGGTTAAGAGCTCAGGCTGCTAACCAAAAGATCCGCGGTTAGAATCTATCAGCTGCTTCTTGGAAACCCTACGGGGCAATTCTGCTGTGTCCTGTAGGGTCACTGTGAGTCAGAATTGAGTTTAAAACATCTAGTATATGTAGTTTTGTTCTTTTACAGTAGTGGTACTTTGAAAGAATACATAAATTGTTATGAGTTGGGACAAAACTATATTACTCGGAAAACTTTAAAACTTATTTCAGCATTTGAGCAAATTTACCTGAGACCTCTGTATTGAAAAAATGGTATTAGCAGAGGATATATTTCAGAATCATTTCCATTTCCTTGTGGAGCATGAACTTTTGAGACAATACAAAAAGAGTTCAAGTTTGGTTGAGGAAGTGACTTATATAGATGTTACATGAACACTTACATAAGATAGCATATGATTTGGGACCAAAAAAGAGTGATAAACAGATAAATGGTATTGGTGGAGTAGAGAAGCGGTCCATATGGACTAGAATAGTCATGGAGATTTTCTCGAAAATTTTTGATTATTAAGGATAGATTTTTGGGGATTTGTATGCATCTTCAGAGGAGATTTTCAAAGTGGGAAAACCACGTAAGCAAAGGCCCATGGGTTGGAATGAGCAGTGACTGTGTGGTACAGTGGATAGAATAGTGTGAAGGAAGTAGAGGGTTGACCTAGAGTAGATAAAATTAGAAGGATAGATTGGGCCTAGGTTCCATCCAAAGGGCTGAACATGGCAGGCTTGTGTCATTTGGTTCAAACTATGTTGATGAGCCACAGGAAATTTTTGGGCAAGAGATTGATGTTATTAAGGCAGTGCTTTAGACTGTTAACTATAAGCAGTAGCTTTGTGGGGCCTCTGGGGGTAAGGCCTCTAAAGGTGAAGCCTAGGGCAAACAGAAAGGCTCCTTGATCTTGGTCACTGCTCTCTCCCAGTAGGAGCTCTGAAATATTTATTGAGTGAATGAATGCACAACTTTGGATCTTCCCCCACCCCTGCTTCTATTGGAACAGATCCATATGACAGTGTTTTATATATTGAGCTTCCATGTATATCATTTTAATTGCAATGGTTCCACCTAACAAAAGCAGTTTGAAACCCTAGCAAGCAGGATTAGAGGAGAGGAGATCAGGAACCAGTTTGAATGCTATGCTATAAGTCCTTGTTTCATTCAGACTTCAGGGTGGCTGTGTTGCATATTCCTATTATAGTGTATTAAAGAATCCTGGTGTTTCAGAAGAGTTAATGTATTTGTTTTGACATAAAGAAATAATGGTACTATGTGCCATTAGATAGGCAGATGATGGAATCATGATTGGTATTTAGTAGGTATTGAGCTTCTGCATTTATGTAGAGCTCTGTAGTTGTGTGCTTTGGGAGGTGGAAGGGAAGTGGTAGTTAACCTAGACCCTGATAGGATTGACTTTATGTTTTGATAGGTTATATAATGCTGCACAGTGTGCTGATTTTGATACTTTTTTCACTGGAGTAGCATTCCTTATCCTCAGAGTATTTGGAAATTGATGCTCAAATCAGGGAGAGTAGCAGTTTTGGATAGAAGCAGCATCGTGTTTGTAAAATGCTTTTTATAAATCTTCTACTGTCTTCCCAGGATCACCTGTCATATTTGTAGCTTTCCTCCTGACTAGTTGATCCAGGGAACCTGGTAATACTTCATTATAAAGTGATTTGTGTAATGCCACTTTCTCTTTGGAAATTCCTAAACACATTTCTTTAGTGCCCAGTAGATGAAGTGGATACAATGACAGTAGCTCTTCTCTTATCTCATTGCGAGCCCAAGCAGTTTTCCTGATCACTTTCTTTCCTAGCTTCCTCTGTGGCAAAGCTAACATGCTTCTGCTGAAACTCACTTCATAAGGAGATTGTAGTTAGAGGGCTGTCAGGAGCACACACTGATACAGTCTCTGTTACTTATAACGTTATGTCCCAATAAGAATATAAGAATGGTGGATATTGAAGTGGATTGATTTGATATGTATTCTGTAAACTTTGCCTTTTTAAAAGACCTATCAAATTTAAAAAGTAACTGATTAAATTCTGAAAATAGTAGAAGGTCGCACCATGATTTATTATCAGAACAGGTAAACACAGATGTCTTATGTATTATGTAAAAGATTTCTTTAAATTTTACAAGGTCAGACTTTGATATGCAGAATGGGAGAATGGAGATGGGGGGGCAATCGTGATGCAGAGATTCCTAAAACTGGCTATGAATCAGAGTTACTGAGTGGGTAGGGGTGGTACTGTTTGCTAGAATGCAGTTTCCAAGACCCCACCCTAAATTTACTAAATTAGACTCTCCAGAGGTACAGTCTCAGCAAGTTTGTTCCCTAGGTTATTTTGATGGACCAAGGACCAGCATTTGGGAACCACTGGTTCCAGTGGCTTCTCATAACAATGAGAATAAAATCAAAATTCCTTACCTTGGCCTACAGGGCCCTGTGTAATCTTGCCCTCTGCCTTCCTCTCTGATCTCTTTCCCTTGTTTGTACCACTCCTCCTTGCTTCCTAAAGCAAGCCAAGTGCCTTTGCACTTGCTGTTCCCACTGCCTGGAATACTCCCCCCCCCACCCCAGATATTTGCATGGATGATTCATTCTAATCTTACATCAGATGTCTCTTCCTCAGGGATGCCCCTTGACACTCCCTAAGCTGAAAACGTGCCCCCCCCATCACGTCACTATCACTTCACTCTTATATTTTATTCATAGCACTTATCACCAACTGAAATTGTCATGTTTATTTGCTGTCTTTCCCCTCTAGAATGTAAACTGCATGGAAGCAGGGGCCTTGCAGTCTTGTTCACTCTCGCCTTTTCAACATCTAGAATAGTGCCTGACCCTTAATAAGTGCTCAGGAGATTCTTATTTTTGAGACAGGCCTGTTCCAGCCAACCAATGAGCTCATAATAATCTTGGAATCCAGTTAAGGAAACAGCAGAAATTGCTCAGCTAACGAAGTTGTAGTCTTGTGAATAGCAGTAATGTCCTATAATTCTCTTTTTCTTCCCTGTCTAGCTGAGTCCACCTCAGGGCGAGGCCAGTGTCTGAAACGCATTCGCTACCATGGCAGAGGTCGCTTTGGGATCATGGAGAAGGTTTATTGCCATTATTTTGTGAAGCTGGTGGAAGGACCCCCACCTCCACCTGAGGCACCAAAGACGGCGGTAACTCTCGCCAAAGAATACATTCAGGAGCTTCGCAACCGGACCATCATTCACACTCTATGATGGAGGAATTCCGATTCCAAAGTGTATATATTTTTACTGTTCATTTCCTAAAAACAAAAAAATTAAAGGCAAATCCTTTTTTGTGGCTTGTCATTGACTTTTTGAAACATGGTATATAACCGCTATTTTTATATTAATATTTGTTTAAGGCTTTGCCCATCTCTTTTGAGCCTCAGGGACTATCTGTGTGCATTTACAACTTGGAAGAGGAAGTCGGCTTTAAACGTAGTAACAGAGACTATAACTCAGAAAGCTTTCTTGGGTACCTTTTGAAGGTAATGTTAACTTTATAACTGTTGTCCTGCAGGTGGTAGTTTTGATACTGGACTTGACTAGAACGTTATAGGATAAGATACCACCACCACGAATTGCTGCTGAGCCAATTCCGACTCATGGCGACCCTATATGTTTCAGAATAGAACTGCTCTCCGTGGGGTTTTCATGGCTGTGACCTTTTGGAAGCAGATTGCCAGGCCTTTCATCTGAGGCACCTCTGGGTGGATTCAAACTGCCAACCTTTTGGTTAGTAGCCCAGTTCTTAAACATTTAAACTTGTCCTTATTTCACTTGATTTTCTCTTGGGGCAGTGGTAAAGTGTAGAGATGAGCACAGCAGCACATTGTTTCACTGCAGTGTATTAGGGCATTCTGCAGTTCTGTTCTTGCTTTCACTCTTGACACAAGCCAGTGAGTAAGGAATTGTATTATCCTTTACTGTTTTAGCAGTAACTTGAAATTATAGGAGTTTATTAGATATATTAATCTCAGACTCCACAAACCCTTTCACTTTGAAAGTTTTCTTCTAGTTAAGTAACGACTGTTTTCATTTCTCCTTCCAGCAGTGCTTTCTATTGCTCAGATATCTTGTTTAGGATTGATTAATTTTTCAGGGTGAAATCAGTTACTGAGAGACTTGAACCAGCCTCAGCGTAGCATTTTAAAATAAGGCAATAGGTGGCGCTCACCTACCTCTTGTTAGCAGAAAATTGTTAGCATCACATTAGAACGTTCAGACCTACCTGGCTATCATTGATACACGTTTTCATTGGCAAGAAGCATTCCTTCTCCACAGTCCCTAGCTCAATGGTTCTTAAATTTTTGTATGCATAAGAAAAACCTGGAGTGCTTAACTGTTAAGAGTACAGACTTCTGAGTCCCACTGCAGAGATTTTGATTCACTAGATTTTGGGAAGGGCTGTAGGGAGAATTCCAAATATCTGCATTTTAAACAAGAACTTCTAGGCAATTCTATTGTAGGTGGCCATACTCTGAGAACACTCCTCTAGTAGAATGAAGAATGTGGTTTTAGTGCCATATTTTAAGATGGCATTAAAAATAGCTACTATTTACTGGGATCTCATTATTTGCCAAGCTCTGTGTTAATATTTTACATAGCTCTTCACAACATCCTGTAAATGTAGGTATTGTTTTGCCATTTTACAAAGGAAGAAGTCAAAGCACACAGATTCAAATAACTGTCTCAGGTTCTCCCTGTGTGTAAATATTGGAGCTGTGATTTAAACTAGGTGTCTGAAGTACTTGGTTCTGCATAACTAATGACTTTACAGATGAGTTGACTGTACAGAAGAGTTTTGTGCCTCTCTAGTTAACCTAATGCGTGGGTATAAAGGCAGTAGGGCTCAGTGGAATAAGCCAAGGTTTAGGACAGTTTCATTTTGGGTCCTCAGCTGTTGTAGCATGGGGTGATGGAAATAATAGTGTTTGATTATTGGCACCTTTGAAGCTATAAGATCCTGCCAGCACGTGGTTAGATCTGTTACTAGGTATGTGAGCCCAGGAGTCTGTTTACTTGTATGGATTCAGCTGAGGTGTCCAGGTAGTCGCTCACCAAGTGTGTGGTGCAGGCTCTCACCTACAGTCCTAGACGGGCAGGGGTGATTGAAGTAGGCACAGGTATCTGGCTGCAGTAGGGGGTCAGGTGCTGAGCAAGGCAGGGGGCTGACAGCTGCCTCTGAGCGTCTGGGAGGAAAGCATGTCCCTGTTCCCTAGAGCGCATAGGTGGGTGGGTTTTGCATCTGGACTGTAGGCACCGAATGCTGTTGGCTGTAAGAACTGGGAAGCACCACTTATTCTTGGACCCTTGTTGCAGGTGGCTAGCTGGCATGGGTGGAGCCACCAGTCCTCAGGCCTCCAATGTAGGTAGGTAAAGACCCTGCTTAATGGACAGAGCGGTGTCAAATGTCATGAACCTCCCACTCCACCATGTAGCTGATAGAGTTGAAGTTAGGCATCAGGTATATACCCTGATGTATTGTGCTAATGAGGGCCTACACTGTTGAAATGGGCCCACACGGATCTACGCATGGGTGAAAGGCATTCAAAGTCCATGAACCCCTTATGCCTATACCTAAACAAGGGAGCTGTGTCTACCTTGAGTTCCTGGCTTAGGGGAGCTGGCAGATTATTTCTTCCTGTTTGTTAATTTGTTCCCTCTCCAAGGCCAGGAGAGTGGCTCAGGGCATGTGACGGGTCCTACTTTCAGCCCAGGGGACGTGGCAATCGCTGAAGCCGGCCTGAGACCCAGTGCAGAGTGGGAAGGGGGCAGGTAAGTGGGAGAGAGGTTCTTCACAAACAGTGTTTTTTGATCTGTGAGGTGGGTTAGATGCATGTACATATTTTTTGCCAATTGAGCGCCGCTTTCACTGGTTCTGGAGGCCCGAGTAGACTCGCCACCACTTGGTCTCTCCTGATGTGGAAAACGCGTCCTGAGTGCCACTGCTTGCCTCACCCCACATGCCAGCCGATCTGGCCTGCAGGGTGCCAGTTCCTGCTGAGTCAGGTCTGGCAACTCCTCACTACTTCCGAACCGTCTCTCCCTCCCCCAGTTCAGTCCAGTTCCTCAACTTTGCCTTTGATGTTCAGGGCTCCTAGATTGTCATATATAATCGATTCACTTGTTTTTTTGGGTCTTTGTTGTAAGAGGGACCACAGAAGTGTCTGACTACTCCGCCATCTTGGCCTTGCCTCAAATTTTTTTTTTTTAATTGTTCTTTTTATTGTGTGATAATATGCTTTTAAGAAGGGACAGCTATCCTGAATGTGGCAGGAAGATAGAGAAGGCCCAGCTCCTTGAATACATGGCTACACTTGCCGACTGAGGCTGTGCTGTCTACCAGACAGCATGTTTTTTTTAACAGTTTGACAGTCTCTATTTATTTTTTGCCTTTTCTTGTATTTTTAAGTGAGGTCATACAATATTTGTCCTTTTGTGATTGGCTTATTTTGCTCAGCATAATGTCTTCCATACTGTAGCATGTATCAAGACTTCATTTCTCCTACTGGCTGAGTAGTATTCCACTGGACATATGTACCACATTTTGTTTATCTACTCATCTGTTGATGGGCATTTAGGTTGTTTCCACCTTTTGGCTATTGTGAATAGTGCTGCAGTGAACATTGGTGTACAACTCTCTGGTTTCAAGTCTTTTGGATATATACCTAGGAGTGGAATTGCTGGGTCATATGGTAGTTCTATTTTTAGTTTTTTGAGGAACTGCCACGCTGTTTTCTGCAATGGCTATACCATTTTGCATTCCCACCAACAATGGATAAAGATTCCAATTCCCCACATCCTTGCCAACATTTGTTATTTTCTGTTTTTTTTTTAAATCTTAGCCATCCTAGTGGGAGTGAAGTGGTATCTCACTGTGGTTTTGATTTGCATCTCTCTGATGGCTAATGACGCTGAGCATCTTTTCATATGTTTGGTGGCCATTTGAGTGTCCTCTCTGGTGAAATGTCTGTTCACGTCCTTTGTCCATTTTATCATTGGGTTATTTGTCTTTTTGTTGTTAAGTTGTCGAAGTTTTATATATACTTTGGTTGTTAGATTCTTGTTGGATATATGGTTTCTGAAGGTATTCTCTCAGTTGGTAGCTTGTCTTTTCACTTTTTTGGTAAAGTCTTTTGATGAACAAAAGTTTTTAATTTTTATGAAGTCCTGTTTATTTATTTTGTCTTTTGGGGTTTGTGGTTTTGTTATTATATTAGATAATCCATTGTTGAAAGCTAGACCTGACAGCATTACCCCTGCCTATTCTTCTAAGGATTTTATGGATTTAGTTTGCATATTTAGGTCCTTAATCCATTTTGAATTTACAAAAAATGTTTTTGTTGTTATAACTAAATACAGGGATATTTTTATAAAGAAATAATAAATATCTGCCAAAACACTGCACGAAAATTTTAGACAGTTGTTTTGGTGTCACCTCTTCTTACAGTATTATCTGGTGTGGTCCTCAGCCCTCTGCACCTCCTTAGTGACGCCACTGGCCCTGTTCCCAGATTAAGTGAATCAGAATCTCTGGTGTGGAAAACCAGGGAACCTGGTAATTTTAACTGGTGCACCAATGATGCGCATGCTTGAGAATCACCAGACCAGAGGATCACTATGGTCTCTCTTATCGCGGGTGCTCCGTGATTCTTAGCCTTTGGGTGTGACTAAAACAAGCCAGTTGGTGGTGTGGGCTCCATGACTATAAATTACGTAAAATGTAGGCACTGCTTCAATCAGGTCATTGAAGCTATTTTGAAAGAGTTATGGACAAAACAGATCTGTGATTTCTAATGAAGAAAATTTGCTGTGATTTAGGGTTGAGAGTTTATTTGTAACTGCTTCTGGTGTGTTAAAAAGTACAATAATAGTTAACATGTAGAACTCACTAGTACCAGGTACTGATCTATGCGGTTACATACATTATCTCAGTTAATGAACGTTTTCCATTTTGACTGTGGTGCAGAGTACATCTGGTTAGTGTCCATGGCTAAGAATGCACTTTCTAACATAATGAAAATTTTGGTCCTCATTTGAAGTTTAACTTAACATGTTCAGAAACTAATATGTATTAATTATTCCTTAATGGCAGTCTCTGTATATCTCTGTATTCAATGACAATGCTTATAATTTCCCTCTTTCTTTTTAAGAGATTTATGAAAGACTTAAATGTTTTTTGTTGAGGTGTACCTCATTTAGAAAGTATGCAAATCACAAATGCACAGGTCAATAAATGATCACCTGGTGAACATACCCTAAATTAAGAAGTAGAACTGACTAACACCCTTTGAGCCCTGTTCATGCCTCCTCCCAATCACTACCTAAAGGCAGCCTGTATCCTGACTTATAACATATGATAGATATTTAAAATAATGATTAGCTTTTTTTTTTTTTTTTTTCCAACTCAGCATAATTTATTGGGCAACCATTCTATGCCTGATACTGAGGATATAGGCAGTGAACAGAGTAAGCACAGCCCTGCCTTCATGGAACTCACATTCTGATGGGAAAGACAGGCTGTAAATTAGTAGTTGCAAGTGTTTACTGTGCTCACTGTTACAAAAGAGGAGGTACAGGGTGCCCTATAAAATAGTTATTGTTCTTTTTGTACATTCTTTTTTTTCTTTTCCACATACAAAAATTTATACATACATTGTTTTGTGACTCTGATTGCTGTCCCCACACTGTGGCAGCACACTGCTCCCCTCCACCCCCAATTCCCCATGTCCATTCAACTAGCTCCCAACCTTCTCTGCCTTCCCATCTCACCTCCGGACAGAAGCCACCCATTTCGTCTCTTGTACCTACTACTTGAGCCAAGAGGCATACTCCTCAGGAGTATCACTTTATGCCCCACAGTCCAGTCCAGTCCCTGTCTGAAGAGTTGGCCTCGGAAATCGTTTTAGTTCTGGGCTGATAGGGAATCCAGGGGCCATGCTTTCCGGGGTTCCTCCATTCTCAGACCATTAAGTC